TCTGCATTTAAGTCACATAGTTCCTGGACAGCCTGAGAGAGCAACTTTTAACAAAGATTTATCACTGTATGAAAAGGTTAAGCTATGCTGACTGTTATCTGTATGTATGTCGTTTGTTTAAAGAGCTGTCAAAAGATAAGGATACACATGCCTGCAGAGATGCTTCTTTTGAAGATGAAGAGCTGAAATGTAAGTATAAATGATAAAGGGAAAAACAGTAGCAAATTGCACATAGCATAAATCATCCATGGTCATCAGTGCCTTGATTCATGGCTGGTTTATTTAGTCCCTTGTTTCAACAGACAGAGCCTTCAAGAGGAGTACAGCCTCCCATTCTCTGTCTTTCTTACAAACTCACTATCATAACTCATTGTGTACTGGGAGTTATATCAAATAATTAAGCTGGTTATAAAAATAAAAAGAAAAGCTATGCAAAGGAAAATGTGATGTGGAGATATATAACAACCCAAATTAGTCTTTTCTCTAGCTCACACTTTTGCTACAGAAACAGTTGTGCCAGGTTAACTGAAGGAGTGGTGATGGCAATGGGTAGAGAGACCTTAACCCATCATGGCCACTCAAGCAAATCTCAAGCCATAAGACTCTGTCTCAGCAAAGCAAGAAAATAAATGACCAAATATCTGAAATCTCTAAAACATACTGTGGTATGGAACAGAAGGGTGAAGTTATTGAGATTTTTCCTTCGCGTTCTTGCTGACTTCTAGAGCAAGTGCTTTATATTGTGTAATATTAATTACATCCCGAATCCCTCCCTGCTGCACTCTGGTGTAAACATAAACAAAGGTAAGCCTGCTGGTCCTGCAGGTATAGATCTCCAAGTCAAAGAGTTAGGGCCTGGGGATATGCTGCTAGGGATACCGACAGAGAGAGCGCTGAATGTATTTGAAAGACTTTAAAAGAAGATTTTAAAAGAATGAGGGACCTAAGCCACAGTGATTTCACTGTATTTGCTAAAGAGCACTTCCCACCAGTGTGTTTGAATTACCACTTTATTTCCTCCCATGATCATAATCTTTTTCTATTTGACCTTTTAATTAATTTCATTTTAGATCTGTAATTTTGACACTGAAGGGAATTTTTTTGAACTCTAGGAAAGAGTCCCAAAGCCATGAAATGTTCTGTGACTTCATAATTTTGTAATTTGATAATTTTTTTATATAATTCTTCCTTTTACAGACATACAAATTGAGAAGACCTAGAGAAAGCAGGGGAAGCTTTTTTCCTCTGTGGTGAAGGTTTGACAGCTCAGATGTTCTGTGTTCTGTCTATTAAGGGGGATATTAATTTTTTGTTTTTATTCTGTGATGGTAATCTTCTTCCATATCATTGTAACTCGGGAAAAACAGCAATGAAGTTAATAGAATTATTATAGCATAAAAAGTCCTTGGATTCAGGCTTCTGTATATGTGACTAGGTATGGAGGTATTTATTTAAATATCCAGGTTTCTGCTTTGTCAAGTTTATGCACTTTCAAACATGCATTTCATTAAAAATATCTTTAAGGTAAAGCACTTTAGGTCTATGACCGTCGTGAATTTCAGAGCTAGTTCTTGAATAGGCCATCTTCTGGGCTTGTTTTATCCTGCCCCTACCCCCGCCCCGCGATGAGCTCTCAGTTCCATGCAGAGATTTTGTTTTCCAGCATTTGAAGAATTTTTTCAATACTCTGATCCTCATAAAAGATCAGGGTGCAACAAGACAAGATGCCATACAGACATGGCATTTTCTGTCCTTACTGTAGATCTTAAAATACCAGATACTAGTAGCTAAGCCTGAAATACATGCTGTAACCCTCTTGGCAACTATGGTTGGGAAATGATTAGATAATGCTGAGCTTCTTGATCTCTTTCTCTGAAAAGTGTTTTGGGGATTTAATTTCCTTGTGATATAGCTGGCATTACTTGGTTACTGCTCATTACTCTTCTGATTTACCATTTGGGGATACTGCAACTCTTCAGACATTCAGGAAGAACAGCTCTTGATTTGGACTGCCTTTTTGTTCACCTTGGGAATGGAAGGAAGGGAACCTTTTCACTTCTAGGACATGAAATATGTGCTCATTTGATTACTTAAGAAATGCTGAGGGAACATGCTCCTGGATCCCATTTCTTAAGCTATTGCTTTGTTACATTTTGCTAGGTGCATAGCTTTTTTTTGGGGTCATACACAGATGAAAAATATTTATTACGATGCTATTCACAATTATATTTTTTTAATAAAATATGTTTTGTTTTTCTTGTGTTTTTTCCTGCTCTCTTTGAGTTGTCAATAAGTAGTGTTAGCACTACGTATGTTTTTTCTGGGAAAATCAGGTATCTAAGATTTGGGTAAAGTAGTGTCTACACCCATGTCATCCCTCTAAGGGCTCCCACAAAGAAGAGACAGTGAAGATCTGGAATCTCGTTGGACTCAGGTTTTACTTTTCAGTTTAAAATAAATGAGTCTGTTGTGCAGTCCTAAGGATGTGAATGCAGCCCTCAGCCCAGGGCTTCACTGCTGGCAGTATTCGATCTAGCTAATGTAAAGTTGTGTTGAATACATCTCAGCAAGCTGCCCTATGAGAAATGCGTCTCATGACCATAATGGAGTTGGTAGACCTCAGTTAAGTAAAAAAGTTACTATAAGGTGATTTCCCTAATTCATTGCAGAGCTTGCATGTTCTGATACTGATTCTTGCCTTTTGATTCTTCAAGGATGCTATGTGAACTTGAACATCCCCTTCTGCTTCCCAACATGCTTTTTGAGGCCACAGTCTGGGTGTCACTGAAGGTGACGGCCAATTTTTAATTATTCCCAGAGCGCAAGAATGGCTTTGGAAATATTAGGGCCATCTGTAGAAAAAGCACTGACTCTCCTCAACACAGAGATGTAGTTTCATGTCACAACATAAATAATTCCCCTTCCAGACAACCTCTTCATTTTCTACTTCCTCTTTGAGACTGCAACAGCTGTTTGCATATTAAAGTAAAAGTGAAAATTCTGCTCCTTCTGTTATTATCAACCTTTGCAAGGCAGTGCTACTAATGCATGCTTATTATTATGGAACCGAAGTTGATATCTTTATCAAGCTCCACCAGACAGCAGGACTGTTGCATTTATCTTTTCCCAGCAGGAGAAAAGGTAAGTTACTGTTGACAGTGCTGTATGTCAGATGAGGAAGATAATGAAATGAGTGGTTATAAATATGTTTTTAAATTCTGTAGCTGAACCCTACCGTCCAAAATGCCAGTGCTTGAATTCCTGAGTGGTTGATAGGAAGCTTGAAATTTTGCTACTTCATTAGAAAAGCAGGATGTGTGGTGAATAACAGATGATGTGAAAAGACCTGTCCTCTCTAAATAAGCTCTACTTTATATTTCTCTGACATCCAAACCAGAACTTGTCTAATCTAATTTTAGTAATTTTATAAATTAGGCTTTTAGGATAAGCTAAATCTCTCTGCTTCATTTTTATGAATACAGGGAGGCAGGCTCACATGCTCATCCTCCAATGCCATGAGTTGTTTTAGCACAATTACTTTCCACTCATGACAGAGGGAGAGTACACATCTAACTGAAAATATGACACATTTAGGTCATGAGAACTAGGTAGAGGAAATCCTTCCTATCCTAACATAAAAAATGTAGTTAAACACCATATTTGTAATAATCTTTTTTCCTTCAGTTAAAAATTTTTGCATGCTACTTTAGTGTTTTTGGATATCTGGAAAATGAAATCCAGCAGGAAGCTAGAGCAGACTCAGATTCAATAAACTGCATTTTGCTTCCTAATGGCCAAGCATTGTTAGATGCTCAAAAGTGCTCAGAAAAGCCTGGTTCATGTGCACAATCTAAATTGGCTTATTGGTATTTGAGTTCAGGACTCATCCATTTGAAAAACGTAATTAGGAACCAATCTGATGGCCTGTTTTGTGATGTGGCATTTAATTGTGTAGAATATGAATGCTGTTATTAATAACAATTACATTAAAGAATAGCTAATAATAAGAAAAATAGAATTATTGCTATTGACCTGCAGGGCTTTTCATGGAGCGGCACACAGGATGTGTGTCCCTTTTTCCTTTTGGCCAAAAAAGTAACTTTAATGTCCTTGAGTGACGTGTACCAATGGTGCATCACCCAAGCATGGGCTAATCAGCAAAATGGCAGAGATGTTAACAGTGGAACTTCTGCTTTTGCAGATGTTAACAGTGGGACTTCTGGTTTTGCAGCATCTTCTCCCCAATTCCCTGTCTCCCTCTCCATATTTCTCTGGTCCTGCAATCTAGGTGATTGCCCCAGCCGAGTCCCTGCCAGGTACTGCTGGGTTCATGAGATGCCCAAGGCAGGTCACTGACTCTTGGGCAATTGCACTGAGCTTTCTGTCTCCCTGTCCCAAAATAGGAAAACATAAAGAAAACCTGTTGTAGCCAGACCTGGCTCAGAATGAGTAGAAGATGGTGATGGTGACTGTGAAGTAACTTTGGGGTACCTTTTCTGTCAGGTGGGAAGAGAACAAGGAACACTTTTGTTTTCCTTCCAGAAGTCTCAATACCTGCAGGGAAACTAGACACCTAGACACAGGGGAGGTAGAGATTCCTCAACAAACAAGTGAGGAAGTTGTGGATGGGGTAGGCAAGCAAAGGGCTAATCAGAAGAGAAGGAACATAGCAATCAACAAAACAAGGCTTCCCTGAGGACTTTATGCAGGTAGAGAGTCTCCCTTGGTAGGATACTGGTATTCTGCAAAGGCATTTGCTGGGAATCACCATGACTCCAGCTGGGACACCCATCTTTTACAATGTCTCTGGCAGAGGGTTATCTCCTGCCTTTCCCACCTCAGAATGGCTATGGGCTCTGCGTGACCTGCACATTGTTCATATTTTTCTGCCTTTTTCTTTATTTTACCATTAATAAATCCTTTAAAAAATGTTATTAGTTGCAAGGTGTGTTTGCATAAATACTTCTCCCTAAATAGGCTATTTGTCTTAGCGTGGAAAGACACAAAGCAAACAAGGCCTTTGGGAGTTGGTGGCAGCTGGAGGGTGAAGATGGAGTTAAGAGAAACAGTAGGCATAAGCATCAGTCAGGAAGAAGTGCCTTAGGAAGATTCAATTCCCCCACTCTCACATACTTGCAAAAAGAGCACAATTTCAATTTGCTGCCATCTTTTCCCTTTTGCTTTTACTGAAAGTGTTAGGACATCAGGGAAACTTGATTTTAATTGTAAATCATAGATCAAGCTCAACTCTGGCCCTATGGATTTTCTCTCTCCTTCAAGTGTCCAACCATCCAAACTATTGACTTCTACCTCTGCCAAAGAGGTCACTGGAGTTCTTCTGGAAAAAGGTCACGCTACCCAGGAATTACTTTATGTGACAGTGCTACACAGGATAAGTTTACTGAGAAAAAAAAAATTAGTATAACAGTGGTTTCATTGAGGTGGATTGCTCTGCACCAGGCAGCAGGAGTGTCCTGGTTTCAGCAGGGATAGAGTTGATTTTCTTCCTAGCAGCTGGTACAGTGCTGTGTTTTGGATTTAGGAGTAGAACAATGTTGGTAACACACTGGTGTTTTAGTTGTTGCTAAGTAGTGCTTACACCAGGCAAGGACTTTTCAGCTTCCCATGCTCTACCGACTGAGAAGGCTGGAGGTGCACAAGAAGCTGAGAGGGGGCACAGCTGGGACAGCTGACCCAAACTGGCCAAAGGGACATTCCATACCATACGATGTCACGCTCAGTACATAAACTGGGGGAAGCTGGCCGGGGGGGCTGCTGCTTGGGGACTGGCTGGGCATCGGTCGGCGGGTGGTGAGCAATTGCGCTGTGCGTCACTTGCTTTGTGTATTATTATTGTTATTATTATTATTACATTATTGTTATTATTTTATTTCAATTATTAAACT